TGACACCATCTCAAATCTGAATAAATAAGCTTTCCATTGATGTATGGTTTGTTAGGATAGGACAATATTTGGCTGAGATACAACTATTTGAAAATCTGGAATCTGAGGGTGCAAAAAAATTGATAAAATCATCTTTAAAGTTGTCCAAATGAAGTTCTTAGCAATGCATATTACCAATCAAAAATTAAGTTAATGTATTTACAGTAGGAAATTTACAAAACATCTTCATGGAACATGATCTTTACTTAATATCCTAATGATTTTTGGCATAAAAGAAAAATCTATAATTTTGACCCATACACTATTTTTGGCTATTGCTACAAATATACCCCAGCGACTTAAGACTGCTTTTGTGCTCCAGGGTCACATATTACATGAGAGGCAGCGCCAACCAAAATATTTCCACATTAACACATTTTTATTAATTCTAAGTGCTTTCTGTCATTTCTTGCAGTTCCTTTCTTTACGAATCCCTTTTGAACAATGTTATTAAGGATTAGAAGTAAGGAAAATGCCAGAAAAGTGCCTTTCTTTGAGAAAAGTAATGAGAGAAACTAAAGAGACCATAAACTTTGAGGCTAGCTTGACAAAGCCTGCTCTGATAGTTTCCCTGATAGCACACGTACGTCACGGAGACATCTATTTGACGTCTGCATTACATCTGCAAGACGTAGTTTTTAGAGTGTTTGCTCATCTGCAATACGTCTACAGGACGTTTCCTATCAGATGTCAAATAGACGTTTAGAAGATGTCTGTAAGATGCTTATGATTTAGAATGAATGTAAAACTGACATCTTATAGACGTCTATCAGATGTTTGTACGCAGCAGATGCTTTCCAGATGAAGCAAGCTTTAAAAGACATCTTACAGACGTACCTGTGCTATCTGGATTAAGAAAGTTTTAAAACCTTGAAGTTTAAAGGTTTTCCTCAGACAGATAAAATCAGAAGAACTCAAGACTATTTCAGACCCTATTAGACCTCATCAGACCAATAAGAAACTGCATTAAACAAAGCCATCAGCAAGTTTTACCACGTTGGCAAGCATTGCTAAAATACTGTAGCATGTTGCTGGTATTTGTTAGCATGTTGTTAACATTTAGCTAAGGGTTGCTAGCATGTTAACATGGCATTGTTAGCATGTTTTAACATGTTAGCATTTAACATGTTGCTAGGCGCTGTTAACATGTTTTAACATTAAGTGCTGCTAACATGTTTACTAAGCTTTGTTAGTCTGTTGTCAGCATATTCTAACATGTTTCTAGGCATTGTTAACATGCTAACATTAAGCTAAGTGTTGTTAGCATGTTGCTAGGCATTATTAACATTTAACATTGTTAACTGTTACTAGCATGTTGCTAGGCGTTGTTAGCATATTTTAACATGCTGCTAAGCATTGCTAACATGTTTTTCTAGCAAGTGTGAGTAAAGTATAACAATTTAAATTTTTCAGTGAGCTGTTCTTTCACTATTGACAGGTAATAAAATAGTTCTTACCTTTAAAATTTCATCAACACAGCTCGCATCTCCCACTGGACCCTGCAGGAACGAACGAAAGCATGCAGATCTTTGCTTACAGAATCATCAATCAAATATACAGGGCTGCTTCTGACCACAGGTCAAGTATAACTTAATCTGTTAAGTTGTCAAACCCTCGAGTAGAGCAATAATACATGCAACTTGCTAATGTTATTGTAAAGAGGTCATAACATTAATATATTAGTATAGTAATAGGTCATTATAGTTTTCCTAAAGGTGCATGTTAAATGGTGGCATAAAGCCAGTAAAGTTTTGCAGTTTTATGCTAGCCAGCCAAAACATTGCAACGAATCCCAAAGAAAATAGTCTATTTTGATGTTTGAGTCATCAGGACAAACATTTGTATTCTGCTTTGTATAACTTACTTTTATGACTAAACAACTGCTGATTGCTTTTTTTCTTCCATGCTGTAAGTGTGTGTATGATCCAACCGAATGGCCAGGAATTGAAAGGCCACAGTTATACAACTAACTCACCGCGACACCTAGCATGTACACAAATAAAAGCTGAAGGCGTAAAATTGTCTATGCTTATAATTATTTATGGACACATTCAGAGTGACTTAAAGGTCCCATATTTTCAAAACTGAAATTTCCTGGCTTTTTTCATGATAACTGAGGTCTAGGTGCTATGTAACTACCATATAAGTTTCAAAACAGTCAGTCCACAGTAAAATTCACACAGCCTGCTTAAACTAGCTGTGATTTTTCACGAACCGTTGTGACTTCCGTAAAAAGTTGATGTCAGAACTACACAGTTACCGCCTTCAGTCACCACCCCGAGCACCGCCCACCGTCCCACTCTCCTTTTGCCAAACCCCCAGACAACATCGCGTCCATGCCATTGCTGAGCAGCAACAACACGGAAACATGCCGTAAAACACAAGAAGATGATATTTTAAGCTCCTTATGTAGCTGAATCTGCGCTGGTTTGAATGGGCCGCCTCCAGTTTCCCCTTTGTTTTGCTGCCTCCAGCTAGCGCTGTGACGTCGGCTGACCCTAGTTACCTGTGGTTGGCCTGGCCGTGCGTCACTCAGAAAACAACAGGCCAATCAGAAGAGAGGCTCATGAATATTAATTAGACAGGCCAAAATCGACCTGTTCTCAGCAGAGCTCCAGAGAGAGGAGCTGTAAAAATATATTGAGATGGTTTTTGGTACTTATACCGCAAATATATATTCTTAAGGACATCAAAACCTAAAATAAAACTCCAGAAAGGTGTACAATATGGGACCTTTAAGACATGTCATAAAAACATGCATTTGTGCGACTTCTGTGTATTGTTATCAGAGGCACAAGAGTGCACAAGACTGCAATGTGGTCAATGATATGTCTTTTTTTTCCAGACCTATTAGTTTGTTCAAAAATCCTCTAGACATTTAGTGACTGACTGAGAATGCAAATCTCTGACAGTAGGTGGCGCTTATGTTACAGCAGAAATATAGCGGTTACCCCTTACACAAAGCAGCGCTGCACTTATAAACACTACTTTATTCAGCATCATATGGAGGTGAGAAGAAAAATATGCAGTAACACTTAAGCCTTTATATATAATTCTATTCATCCAGAAAGTATAATGCATTAAAAAAAATAGATGTTATGATGCATTTTATGGTTATAATTATTTATGAAAAGATAGAACGCATTACAATGTACATTATAAATACCTTCATATTGCATTATAAATAAAGGCTTTTAGTAAAGTGTCACCAAAAACACTTGGTAAGACTTTAGTTTAGGGACCAATTCTCACTATTAACTAGCTGCTTATTAGCATGCATATTACTAGCATTTTGGCAGTTTATTAGTACTTATAAAACACATATTAATGCCTTATTCTGCATGAGCATATTTTAGATCCCTTAATCCTTAAACCCCATACCTAAACTTAACAACCACCTTACTAACTATTATTAAGCAGCAAATTGGGAGTTTATTGAGGCAAAAGTCATAGTTAATAGTTAGTTAATACTACAAATTGGTCCCCAAACTAAAGTGCGACCAAAAACTTGTCTGAAGACAGTCAGTTCCTTTGAGATATAGATTAAAAACTCCAGGGATTTGTGTGAATCGCATGAATAGCCTATTTCAATGTCAGAATGACAAATTTTGCAACAAGTTCGCAGGTACAAAATTTCGAAAAATGAAAGGAGAAATCCACTGTCGTTTACCTTTGAGCTCGGTTTTATCTCAGTATATCAAGGGAAATTGGATTCGTTATGATGTGAATCCTTTTATCAATATTATGGGAAAAAAGAAAGCATGCACGACTTACATCGACTGGCTGCGTCGGGATCTTGAGCTTGGTGAGGGAAGCCTTGCCACTGGGCTTCATTTCTCCCACCGCACTGCTGTGTGATTGACCGCCGTACGACTCCGAGGAGGTCTTGGGCTCGGCCGTTTCCCGGTCGTCCATGGGCCGCACATAAGCGGTGGGTTTTTGGATCATGGAGCTGGGTTTGATGAGCGAGGGCGGGAAGCTCTGGCTGGGATGCTGTCCACTGGAGAAGGAATGAACTCTTGAGGGCGAGTCCCAGTTGGCTTCTCTGTCCCTGGGCGACTTGTTGCGGCCGCGCGAGTGTCCGCCGGAGCTCATGGAGCCCTTGGCCGGGCTGGAGTGGGATTTGTGCTCGGAGCTGTGCTTGCTGGACTTCTTGTTGCTGCTATAGTCTCGCTCGTGCCGTTGACCGCCGCTGCTGGAGCCGCTACGCTGACTGCTGCCGTGGCTGCCCTGCACGGACGAGCGCTTCTGCGAGGGGGCAGAAGTTGAGGAGGACGAGCAGGATGAGGAAGAAATGCCGCCGACAGGAGTCCATTTACTGTTCTGACTCTGGGTGCCTCCGCGCTGGTCACCGTACTGGCCGGATTTATCGTCCGAGGAGGAGCTGGAGGCTTTGGGAATGAGCTTGGACATTGGGGGTTCACCGATGGTCTCCTTCATCTCGTCGTAATTTCCCAGCATGCTCTGGATGCGACTTGAGAGTTTATCTTCCTTGCAGGACTGTTGGGAGAAAAGGATAAGGTGAGAAAGACTGGAGATGAGTGCGAGAACAACAACTCAAGCACATGTATTCAAGTTTGTGTGCGCCATTTTACAAACTTCAAAACGTGTCTATCACAGGGCTTCAGGCTGACTAAGGCCCCGATCAGACAGAACACGTTTTTCAGGTTTGAAAATGCGAGGCGCACCCACACTGCCTTTTTGAGGTTGACTTTTTTTAATTTAGAAAAGAGCAGTGCACTGCATTTTTTTAATGTTGCTAGGCAACCACCGAATCAGCTGTCCTGTCAGTCTAATGAAGGATTATAGCGCAAGCACTCTAAAATCTTTGGTTTGCCGTTAAGTAAACCGTCATATTAGCAGAAACTTTAAGGCCCGCCTCTCCATTCATTCGACTGGACAATGGGGGAAAAAAAACGAGAATGACTTCGGGCGCTTTTCTGCTCAAAGTTGATTTTTTTTTCAACTTTAGGTGCTCCGAGCACTCCTACAAAAACACGAGGCGCCCGGGGCGCACAAACAGCACACAAAATTCTCACTGCCAATAGAAAACAATTTTAAAAAGGCGCCTCTCACTGCAAAAAAACGCGTTCTGTCTGATCGGAGCCTAAATGGTCACATTTTACAAACTTTTTTGCTGCTTAAAGTCAAACTGGTGCCACTACAAAGTTCGCCAGCCCTCTTTAATTTACTGTAGTAATACTAACTCCATTAACCCTGGTATTGTGGCAGAAACATTGCATTATCATATATTATTATATAGTTATTTTAGTGATGCACCGCAAATAAAAATTCTGGGCTGAAACTGGAAATTCAGGATGCACTTGGCCAAAAACCAAAAATAAATATTATTTAATAATCAATTAATTTATCAACATTATTTAATCATTAACACTCAAATAAAGGCCAAGTTGTACAAACATTTAAATTGCACATAAGGCAGTATTTAATAACAGTGTTTCTACAATTTTCACAGATTTACTCAAACGTACATTAAATAACGAAGGTAACAGTTTAGGTAAAAATCTAATGAATATGCAATAGTGCATATATTTAGCAAAATGCTGCTTTATAGAATTATTTTTTCTAGCTGACTATTGAGTTTATGGATTTTGAATGCCTGTCCCGCGGTAAATGTGACTTTACCTGACATTATCGTTTACGAGCGGTTTCAATGACGTCTTTATACCGTTGAATCACTGATTGAGACAACATTTCAAACCAAAAATTGCTCTTTCGGCCGCCAAAACTTTGGTGCATCATTGAATATTATTAAACTATGGCAGTTTCTGAATTGTATATTTTGCATTTAAAGTTTCTAAATGTCTTAGGCTACTGTTTTTATGATAAAACTCAGTTAAAGTTACATCTAACCACGGTAGTGAAAAATCATACATGGTTTAGTCTGTGCTTACCATGTTCTTATTACAAATACCACTGTTAAAACTATGGAAACTATTTAAATTACAAATTTGGAGAATCAAAAGGTCTGTATCTAGCTTTAATTATTTTCTTCTGTGTAAAAACAGTCCTTTACTAGTGGATATTTGTGTAAATATCCACTAAAATGTATATGATTTGAAACTTGAATAGAAAGTAAGACAAATGAGTCAAAAAGGCATCTGTAAACAACTCATCAGCTGCTGGCAAAGTAATTTTCATCTGCACGTTACACTGTGCTTGCATAAATCTTGTAATGTAAGAGACAGGAACATGGCCACTGTGGACATTCCCCATTTGTTTGTCTGATCCTTGCAACAATTAAACATGATTTAGAGACGATACTGAATCATATGACAAATAAGACACAAGGATTCAATATTCCCAGTCCTGTTTTATAACTTGATCTGTCCAGAATGTTTGAGTCAAGCGTACAGGAGCAGACCGTTATGTGAAGTATTTTTTGCACTACTGCCCCCAATGAGTTCATCCAGAATAAACAAGTAGCACATCGCGTCCCAACCCGACCGGAGGACATGTCAAAGCAGGGCTTTTCCACTGTTAGTACACACCACTTCATCTTATCCCAGAGGGAATATGAAGGTAATAACGGGACTGTAAGCTGTCTGTATTCTCTACCTTTCAGGTTGCATTTCTTGCATCCTATGACAGGTTCACCACCAAAGTAAAGCACTTACCGCTGTGCAAAGCTGGTTAGCGGCAAAGATTAGACTGAGAGAGACTGTAATCTTCTTTACTGTAACATATGTGACTATTATATACGTGTCCTTTTCCCACCCATTGCAGCTTTATATCAGCCCAATTTGGAAAAAAACCCATGAATGTAGAGTTTTAGTCCATTGATAGTATTTCACATCCTGAAATACTATCTTAAAAAAAAAAAAAAAGAAATGGGTCAGGAGGAATGCGATTAAATTAAATTGGTTTTTGCAGCAACTGATGTTGGATCACCTCTATACTAAAAATAGACTCAAATTATTAATGACACATTTCCACTCCAAACTTCATCCAATAAACTTTACCAAAAGAGTAGCAGAACATGGTTTCAAAAAACAAAAACAATAAAAGTCTTTCTGTATGTCCCGCCCAGACTTCTGGTTTAAAAAGGAAATGTGTCAACACAGCAAAGACACTGTGCTTGTCAGGTAATTTTATGAGGTTTTTAAAATATTAAAGTTGGGTAAACATATCCAAAACAAAAATAGGCGAATTTCCACTTTTCAACAACAACAACAACAAAGTTGAACTATAGGGGTGGAAATTGTGATAAATGTAACAATTCAAACATTAAATTCTAAATTAACAAAGCTTCCTCAAAGTTCTGACAGGTTCTTGTATGTTGTTGAGTGCAACCAACAAGCACAACAAAATAAAAGTATTATCTTGATATTATTTCATGGAACACTATTTTCCTCTCTCTCATCACTTGAGATCATCTGATGTAAAATGATGTAATTCCTTTGACTACGGCACTGTAAAATACGTTTCTCAATGACCAGTTCTTATTGGGAATGTTCTTTCCTTCCTCACACCTGCAAACTAAACCACACAATGCTTATCCCTGTATAACTAGACATTTGCTGAGCACTTACCACACATTTAGGACAAGAAGTTAACCCGCCACTAACTAGCAGACATTTTATATTAGCCGGACAGATTTATAATAAGCAACCATACTGTTAACAAAAATCTCCAGCTGATGCATCTAACAATGCAAGTACTTACCTATAAAATGCCCTGTAATAACTGTTAGGGTTCAAATAGCAAATGAAACCCGTTTCGAGATTTTCAGCATTGATTGGAAACGGTTTCTAACGGTTTTCCTCCAAAACCTACCACCAGCTGTCACTGGATATTGTTTAAATTTGGATGCATGTTTCAATTTAGCAATTACTTTGAAGCATCTTAGTTGCTATTCTGCATTTTATATAACGGCGATATCTTATTACACTGGCCTTCCTCTACACGTTGAAATTTTGGATGTAAAATAGAACAAGTCATTTTATAACTTAAATTTAGAGACGTAAATTCCCAGTGTGAAAGTTTTTTAGGGTTAGGGTTTTGTGTTACATCTTACGTTGTTTAATTAATGTTTATTGCATTATTTTAGAGTTACCATGATGGTGTTTTGTATAATTTGTGCGCATGACACCATCCACTTTCTATATATTTTATATATACACATTATTTTTATACATAAGGTGGTTGTCATTATATTATAAATGCTAAAAAAACAGGTATTAGTAATTTGGTATATCAACATTATTTAATTTAATGAAATGTTTTTTTACAGTAAATTAAAATTTAATCTGTAATACTTAATTTTGCTACGGCATTTTTACAGTAAAGTTCTGGCAAGCACAGCTGCAGTTCTTACTGTAAATTTCACAGGTTTTTTTTGTAACCATTAAAACACCCAAATCTCTCAAGTTTCCATGACGCATACATTTTTCCAGTAATTATGTAATGACCAAAGTTGCTGTTTCACCACAGTGCATTTATCAAGTGTTTGTTTTTTGCTAAAGAGCCAGATTAATTGTGCATAGAAGCCAAAAAAGAACAACCCAAGATTAGATGAGGTCTACAGGGCAAAATAATAAATAAATAAATAAATAAATAAAAGATAATAAAATGGGGGGGAAAAAAAGAAGAAACAAAATGAACTTACTTTATAAGGTTCAGGAAAGAGGGGAGAGTTAGCTGGAAAGGCCTCTCCTCCCTGCTGGATTTCTTGATTTCTCCTTTCCCTTTCTTTCATACGGAGCATATTCCGGTCTTCACGGTTCATGTTGCTAACAACAGAGACACTAAGAGTCACTAAGCAATGAAGAATTAGAGAAAAATAGCTTCCTGACACCTTGATCTACACCTTCATCTACCAAGATAAAGTTACATATTTGAACAACAAATGGAAACAAATGGACAGGATTACTGGAGACAAGCAGATGTGCTTTCCCTTCAGAAAACAAGACCTGGGCCATTTCTCAGAATAACAGACAACAGTCATGTAGCAGAACTCAATGTTACAATTCAATTAGACACAGTTATTGGTAATACTGACTTTAATTCTGTCCATCTTTGTCTTACACTGCGTGCTTCGGCTAACCAAACATTATATTCCATACATTATATTCATTATCTGCCCTGTGCGTCATTACTAATAACAGGACTCACTAAAGTAGTTACACATTCAGCCAATATTTAGCACAATGGATGAAACGATATTCTATAGCACACAGAAACCTTTAAAAAAGGTTGTTTCAAAAGTTAAGACATGAAAGACTGCTAACATTACAGGTTACGTGAGATATGTGGGGTGTGTTTGGTTAAACAAGGGTTGAGAAATCAATGGTGCGAAGTGAAACTTCGTCAGTCTTTGAGGCATGTGGTTTAGTAATTAGCAAACATCTAGTCCACAAGTCATTCGAAAAGGCAGATTTTTACTTTAAAATAAGACAAAAAAAATAATCAGTTCAGAGCGTCATTCAAAACCACAACAGGTTGAAAACAACTCTTGCTGAAATGAATGAAGACTTCAGATGCAAAGCAATGAGGCTCTTGTGTTAGCTTCGGTAATTTCACTTTAATGGCAATGAAAAGGTTATGAGTCATTTATTGAATGCCTTATTTTCAAAAATGCCCAATGTTATTATGTCATAGGAGCCTGATAAAAATGCTAATTTAAAAGAAACATCTCAGACAGATTTGGAGATTTTTTTACATCTGAAGTCTTCATATGCAAATGTTGTACAGAGGCTTATCCTGAACTTTGTAGCTTAGGACTACACGGATAAGGTAATATGCAGGTTTCCACTCATTTCTTAAGTAAACCCATAGCAAACCGGCAATGAATTAATAATTATATTCACTGTATCTCCATGAAGCCATAACTACAGATTCATTTTGCCTATGGTTTCACAACAAAATCGAAAGGACAAAATAAGGTAAGAGAAAGAAAGAGTGAGAAAAGAAAAATAGGAAAAGAGCAAAAAGAGAGCCAAAAACAAGAAAGAAAAAGGAAGGAAGAAAGAAGAGTCATGGGTAAATTAAAGGACACTTTAATCAAACTGTTTAAGAGTAAAAAAAAAAAAAGAAAAGTGTTATTACTGGGCAGTTAAATAAATCTCCTCGTTTGCTTTCAGAAGGAAAGCATGACTGATTAGATCAGCACTGCGCGGCGTCACGTCGGGGGGAGGGAGTGTTTTTAGATGCAGTTTTAAGACGAGTCACTACTAGGGCCTTTCGCACCGCTTTAGTTCCATAACTAAATGTACAGTACTAAAGTACTGGGACGATTTTGCGCGAACTATTTCCCAGTACCATTTAAAGGGTTGCATTCGCACCGAGTCGCTCGAATCATTCATGATCCAGCCTCA